GTCAGGGGAGGCGGTGGTTAGGCATGCGCAGCCATCTTAGTCTATGTAACTTTATAGCCTCGTCGATTGATTTTCCCTGTTTGCCCAACACTCTACGCCTAACGTCAACATTACTTACCTTGTGAAACCACCTAACGTGAGACAGAGATCGCAGACATCTATGATCGAAAGCAGTCAACCTTTTCATGTCTTCAACTCGTATTGGCCATGTTTCAGAGCCATAGAGAAGGACGGAGCGAACTGATGAGCAGTACACACGTCCCTTGGTTGATAACCGGATGTCACGCCTACGCCAGAGATGGTGTAAGTCAGCGAAAGCAGCTCGAGCTTTTCGGATCCGTGCTGAGATTTCATCGCCAATCAGTCGGTTGGTGCTAATACAACTTCCCAAATAGGTGAAGTGGTCAACATGTTTTATCACTTCACTCCCTATCACTAAGTTAGGAGTTGACGTGGTCCAGTCCTGTAGCAGCATCTTACATTTTGTAGGGGCGAATCGCATGCCAAACATACGAAGATTGCTGCTCAAAGTGTTCAGAAGACTCTGCATTTTGTCAGCATCCTCCCCTAACAGGACTATGTCATCTGCATATTCTAAGTCCATAAGACTATTCCCTGGTAACAAGTCGATTCCTAAGTCATTACGTTCAGTTAAAGATACTTCCATCAGCATATCTATGATGAAGTTAAACAGAAATGGGGAAAGTGAACATCCCTGTCGGACACCACTGGTTGTTACCAATTCAGATGACAATTCCCCATAAGCCCTTACACGACTACGTGAGTTTGAATAGAGTGCCTTGATTAGTGCAATGTACTTTCTTGGCACTCCCTTCACAGTCAGACATTGCCATAGTACCTTTCGATCCACGGAGTCGAAGGCCGCCTTCAAGTCAAGAAATATGACAATTGTTGGACGCCGAAAAGTGTGTCTATGTTCTAGAATCTGTCGAAGAGTGAAGATATGATCTATGCACCCTCTACCTGGTCTAAAGCCTGCTTGATTTTCCCTTGTCTGTTCCTCCCGAGTTCTGCTTAGTCTATGCATGATTACTGAGCCTAGGATTTTAGAGACTATGTTCGTTAGGCTGATACCCCTATGATTATCACACGAGGACTTGTTTCCCTTCTTGAATATCGGTATAATAAATGACTTACCCCAGTCTGATGGCACTGTCTCTGATTCCCAGACGTTGCCTAGTACCTCAGTAAATCTACAAACTAGTATGTCACCCCCATATTTAAACACCTCCGGAATAATTCCGTCGGGTCCTGCCGCTTTGCCTCGTTTCAAGTTACTGATAGCTTTTGTGACCTCACTTACAGACGGCGGACCAGTGTCTATATCCCATTCGGGTGTGTTCTGGATGTCGGGGAGGTTCAGTGTGGCTGTAGGTAAGTTAAATTGTCCCTCAAAGTGTTCTTTCCAGCGTTGAAGGCGTCTATCCTGAGAGCTAATTAAGGAGCCATTTTTCTCAGAAATAGTCTCACTTATGATTTGCCTTCTCCCATCCGTTTCCCTGATGAGTCTAAACAGTTGCCTATCATCGATGCTTTTTCCATCTCTTTTGCCTTTGTCACCCACCACTGTTCACGGTCCTTGCGGAGACTTTTAGTAAGTTTCCTCTTATGCAGCTTTCGCTCCTCATTGAATTCGGAGCTCGCCGGAATAAGTCTTCTAGCATCTATCAGTTCGGATGAGGCAGTCAAAATCCAGTGGTTTTTACTCACCTTTGGATTTGCCTTATTCACAGCTTTTACAGCTGTATCTATAGCTGACTGAATATTCTTCCAGGCTTCTCCAGGGTGAGCACAGCTGTCGAACACAGATATGCGTTTAGCTAGTTCTTCCTCGAATAGGGATTTAGTTTCCTGATCGAGCTGGGGACGTGATGGTTTTACCGCCAGCTGTTTCCTACGTCCGTTCAGTCGTAAGCACACACGAGCCCGGACCTCAATGTATGTCTGATCCATCTCCATTTTCTCCTACGTGTTTGTTGAGCAGTCGGCTCTTGGTCAGTTTGTTTCCATACTTTCTTGTTGCTTATTCTTTCTGGCCATTTGATCTTCAGTATGGAGACAGCGAAGGCAGCTGCTGATGAAAGTCTGCAACCTGTTGGAAATCCTTTTCGTGACCCGCCGACCAAGTTTCTGACCCTTAAAGAAGTACCGACTTCATATTGGTGTTGAAAATCCGAATCGTGTTGTTTATGCTGAGTGCGGAAGATTTCCAGACTGGTTTCAGGTTGATGACAGTGTATCTTGCCTTTCCGAATCTGAATTTGACATCTTCGTCCGTTCCGCCTGTAGTTGAGACGATGCTTCCCAGATAAGTGAAGGAGGCAACCTCTGTTAAATCTCTCCCGTTGATGGTGATTGGTGCTGGTTGTTGTCGCTGTTGATTGGTTACTTTCATCACCTCCGTCTTCTCTGTGTTCACCTGCAATCCTGTTTTCGCCACCAGTCTCTTCTGCCAGTTTGTTGGCTTTCACTTGCAAGTCTACGAGTTTGTGTGACATTAGACATATATCATCCACATGCGAAATCCATATCTTCTAGAGTCTTCTCATCGGTTATCCAGCGTATTACTGACTCCTCGCCCCCAACAGTATGACTCATAATCCAGTCCACCACAATTAAGAATACCATCGGTGATAATATCCAGGCAGCCTTGTCTTACTCCTGTATGCACTTCGAACGCCTTGTTGAGTTTTCTGTTGTGGATCACTTGACAGGTTGCAGGCTCATATAGCTGTTGAATGAGGTTGGTAAAGGCTTGAGGTACGCCATAGTTTTGAAGCAGTTTCCAGATTACTTCTCGCTTTTCAAAGTCAATGAAGCTGAGGTAGAGATTTGACTGACATTCTATGCTTTGTTCGATGACGATGCGTAGAGTTGCAACTTGATCAGAATATGATTTGCGTTTCCTTAATCCAGCTTATTCAGTGTTGGCGGAGTTCTGTATCCAGTGCATCCTTTATCCTCTCCAGGATGATGCGACTTAGTATTTTACTTGGCGTGGACAAGGAATTATTTCACGCCAGTTAGTTCCTTTCTTTCTTTTCAAACTTTTTGCAGTAATGAAGTGAGAACATCTGCCGTATTCTCTGGGGCCGTCTTCAGTACTTCGGGAGGAATGCCGCCTGGTTATGCTGCCTTCCCAGCTGGTATTTGGTAGCTTGATCGCATTTAGGATTTCTTCCGTTGGAGGAGTGGTGTCCACCTTGCAGTCCTATGAGTGCTGTTGATGGTATTTGTGGATGAGTCGCCGGTGGTGGTCGATTCAAGAGTCCTTTAATGTGACCAGCCCATTGTTTGATTTAACCTCGCCTAGTTAACTAGCTCGCTAATTTTCTAGCAGGTCCCAAGACCGAGTAAAGAGGAAAGGTTTGGCGTACGACTAGCAACCCCACATAACTAAATCTTTCAAACCGCTATAGAAACTTCAACACACAGGAAATATATTAAAAATACAAAAACTTCAAATAAAATCTTATTTTTCGCTAGAATCGGAGAGGTGAAATGACGTGGGCTGGTGAAAGCCTCCGGGAAGCCATTCAGCCGATGTGTCTTCTCTCGATGAAAGGAAGAATAGGAATGGGTACATGGAATGTCCGTACGATGTAAGAAGCCGGTTGGGAAGGCTATCCAGGTAGCCAAAGAAATGCGAAGATATGGCTTAGAGGTACTGGGCATCTGAGTAAGCGGATGGAATGGATGTTGATTGAGAGCATTGTAAACGGGAGAGTCAATAATCTACTCCTGTCCCCCAGACGACAACCCCGAACACTCTGAGGGAATGCCTATCATGATGTCACCAGTGGCAGCCAAAGACTTAATGCAGTGGCAACCAATTTCATCTAGGATCATGACAGCAAGAGTTAACTCCAAAGGAAGGAAGGAAGGTAAGAATTATCCGATACTACGCACCTAAAAACAACGCGGAACAAGAAGTACCAACGGACGAATGACCTTAAACGCATCAACTACAAGACAAAGGCGACTTCTCCGTATATATATATATATATATATATATATATATATATTCATGAGAATAATGAATTAAAAGGCATGAAGCCGTTGCATTGGGTGCCTTTCCGTGACTTGTGACAAAAATACCCCTCATTTTTGGATTGGTGTCAGCAGAGCGATTTGACTATATTATATGCAAGTAATTATCTGGGCTCTCTACTCCCAACAACAACCCTAATCTTTCCTTAATTTAGCCCTAACGTGAAAACACCCCTAAACTAACCTTTATTTAAATCGAAACAGCCCTAATGCTGCCCTTATTAAGTTAACCTAACCCTAACCTGTCCTCAGCCTAAACCTCAATATAATCTTTATCAAACCCAAGCTGAAACTTGTTAGATATCCTTTTCAGTAAAATAACGCTTCATTAAGCGTATTTTTTCACGATTACAAAATTATTTGCCAGGTTCCACTAACTTGCTCACTGGTCGTTAGTGAGGCTGCATCTCACTGACATCTACTGTTAATTAAAGATTAACTGATTAAATATGCCCATCAAAATTATTCGAAAGAATGGTTACTGAACAAAGAATAACTGCGATAACTTCACCATCAGGTCCTATAGGACCTTTATAGTCGCACTTGGAAGCTGCAACTCTATAAAAAACTTAAGGGCTGGAACTAATGGTCAGCTTTGCGTGAGAGGGAGCTTTTAAACCCTGCAGTAGCACCAGAAGCATGTACGAATTGGGTAGGCAGCACAGCGGTTAGGACTCTCGCCGACCATGCACATGGTCTCAGGTTCGATCCCTTGTCAACGCACACCTGATATCTATGGTGGGCCTGTGAAATTCAGGCTACCTATATCATATGCTGAAAATTCCATTTTTGTACCAAAAATACTGTGGTTTCAGATTAAATTTAAATTTTTAAAAAACTTGAAAAATTAAGTGTCATCAGCACAGATAATCTTACTCATCTGCTGATGCTAAAAAATAACGTTAAAATTACTCTTATTTGAAACTGACTGAGTAATAACCTGCAGTGGGTTAGACGTATTAAAGCATGAAAACACAATCTAGTTACTAACATTCAAATTTCCGCCTTTAATATAACAAAATGTTGTCATGGTAAAAAAGACCAAAGATGACTTGATATTTCACAAAAGTAATTTTATTTTAAAGACGACAATTCATTCAATTTACATTTGTTTTGTTCACTAAATACTGCCGGCGGCGTTTACGAAGTAAAGCGTGATGTCTCGGATATTTGATCCGTATAGAGTTCTTGGATTATGTTCTTCAGATGTTCCATTTGTTGTGAAATATATCCCGAATTCTGAGGCGTATTATGCTGTAGTGCCTACAGGGGAAAGGTTCAATTTATACAAAGTGGGTTTCGCAGACTTTCGATTAATGCAATAAGTAGCTTCCTAGATTGACTTTAGTTGGGACAAGTAAGGAATATCGCCTCAATAATAATATATTTTAGGTGATCCTGTCGAATCCCCTATTAGGTCGTTTGTCTCATGTGGTAACATCCTAGTTGCTGCTGCTGGGAAAGCCATATACACATTTCGCAATTCGCGATACCTGCTGCAGAAGCTCGAGCTGCACGCATACAATATTACACACTTATGCGTACTTCATAACACAATTTTAGTGTCAGTCGATGAAGGGGGGTTCGTTAGGGCGTGGAATACAAAAACGTGGGGTGAGTGTAAATATTTTCTGACGTTTTCAGAGTTTTCTGTTGAGGTCGAATTCTCGCGAAAATCTTTCTATATCACATCTGTGCTCCATCCCCAGAACTACAAAAACAAGGTCCTTTTTGGCAGTTCTCAGGGTGCTCTGCAGTTGTGGAATATTGTATCTCAGAAGCTGCTTCATTGGTTCAGAGGTTTTGATGCATCCGTTACTTGCTTGCAACAGGCTCCGGCCATTGATGTCTGTGCTGTTGGTCTAGCTGACGGACGTATTATTATTCACAACCTTAAATATGATGTCACACTAATGAAATTCGCTCAGGATTGTGGGGCCATTACATCCATTGGCTTTAGAAGTGGTAGGTTCATAATGCTTTACCTTTAGATATCTTGTCATGTACTCTTCTGCTTGCAGTGTTAATTCTCACCGTAGTATCATGCTTCATTTCCAAGTTTCCTTGGATGTTTAAGCTATGCTGACTTGTCCGGTTACGTAATGTTCCTGTTTTCTTTTTGGTTAAAGCATGTCCCTGGTCATTGTTGCATAGCCACAGCAAAGAGTCATTACCAGAAGGCTGTGAAACCTAGGACTCGGTTAAGATTTGAAACTATAGAAATCTTAACATATGTATTTAATATTTCTAGTAATGGTTTTTTAATTTGATTCCTACACTAATTAGCTCGCAGAATAGTCTACAAAATCTTTCAGTTGTGTGACATCTTTTCTGACTCTTAATTCCAAAGCCATGGAGTTTGATGAGTTTCTCTGACGCATATATTACATCAGTCTAATCATGTCAAGAGAATCAGTGTCTATTAGAATGCAACTGATCACATGATTTATCTTCCCTTGATGTCTCATAAACCTATGGTATGGTTATGAGCAATCGACTGTGTTCGAAACGTTATTAGCAGATAAATAATATCGTTGATGTATGTCCTATCAAAAAAAACTTTCTATTATGGAATCATTCAAAAACAGTTCCCAAATTCTCTTACATCCCTTTATTGCTGCTGTTTTACCACGGAGAAGCTGAAATAAAGTGGTCTGTGTGTACAGTGATTGACTAAGTTCTATTTGACTAACAGTTTTCCGGAAACTTCTGAATATTTTAGTGTTAAACTTACACAAAACTGGTGAAATAAGGGGAGAATGTCTCACAAAAGCGTATCCGTTCAAATCTTCATATTTCTAATCAGCATAAAAATAAGATGACTACAATAAAAAAAAACATGTGTAGAAAGAAAGTTTAGTAAGAATTGGTAGACAGTCAAAATTTTTGAGGTCATGAAAAAGAATTAATCTACGGCATTGTGAACGACTGAGGCATTTCATCAGCCACTAACAGTATTATGTCTAGTATCGTGCTGTTGGTATTTTCAGCTTAAACCTGGTCAGCACTGTAAATCAGACACTATTATCCATTCCACTAACCGAGCAGTTTAATCATGATTACATTCAGTGCCAGCGAATATGCTAGTAAAAATGTCGGTGTTTGAGAATTATATCCCCTTGCTCCTGTATCTCTTGCCCTATATACACTGCTACGTTTAATTTTACCAGAAACTAAAAGTATTATAATATATTGTGTAGATGTTGTTTAACACCAACAGACTGCAAAATATTAGGTGCCGGGTAAGGGTCTCACTTGTTGATTCTGAATGACTACACTTTTTTTTCTAAACATCTCTTTACGCTAATTAGGTTCGCATGGTTTGCAGAAGCCGTCGAATATTGATGAAAATAGTTGTGTTACTTTGTTACCTAGCCAAAATAATGATGTCTACTTAGTATCTGGTTGTGAAACGGGATACATCAATTGTTGGGAACTTAAAGAGGATGGCAAAAGTCGATCAGTTGGTCAAGCGCGTAATTTACACTGTGGTAGTGTGATCACAATATATTGTATACCCGGAGGCGATGCAGCTAGTGCAATGGTTACATCTGGATCAGATAACTGCATAAAAGTAAATTATAAAATTCATATTTTTCATTTCTCAACTTTTTCCTCTTCTATGTCTTCATTTTTATATGGGCATTATATAACCTGTAGGCTTTCATAACTGAATGACTACCTGTTTGTGCGTATGTTGAGAAAGAGATAGAAATATAGAAATTTCTTCAGTTGTGAGCTTTATTTTAGGTGTCGAAATTGTTTCCATCACGTTTAGTATCAGTATGTAGTCATTAGTCGTAGACTGCTTTCCAGAAGAGAACGAATTGTGGCGCTCTTAATTCAATATGATGGCGACAAACATACAGCCTGGCTGAGAAATCTGATTTTTGTGATCTACAAAACAATAGGGAGTTTTCAAGAAATTCAGATGCTACTGCTTTAGGTGATTTAATTTATTGACCAGGCTTTCAGCTATTTGGTCCTACGTTTTAATCTACTCTCAGCTTATTTTTCTGAATAGGTTCATTAGCACTCCCACTATTTTTGGCTAGGAGCCTGACACTCGAAAATCCTGTTTTCAGTAGCTGAGTTCTAATCAAAAGATTTGTAAAGAAACTGATCCGATGTACCAGCATGTGCGAATCATTCCCGACTATTCCACTTTAAGGGTTGCTTGCTTCCTCGTTTATTTTAGTCAGTCTGAAGAGTACTGAGCAGTGAACTGACGTGACAGTAACACACGTCTGCTATCAGCCAATATCAAACAAAAAACATGAGAAAGTAAGAGACTTGTAATAACTTCATCAATGTTCTCAAATCTATGAGTGCATCTCTCGTGTAGAAGTCTACTCGTCATTTTAGTTTAATGCGTATGATATACCATAATACTTCATTATATTATGCAATGACCCCATATTTGCTAACTTATTTTGAAACCCGTCTCTAAACAGGTAAATTAGGTAGAAGTGTCCTTGTTAAACCTAATAGTACAAGAAATCCTGTTTACCAGGTTATTTTTCAGCTCTGAGTGAAAGTTTTAATTGACTTTAATGGCATTGATTTTCTTTTACCTAGGTATCTTACTTTGACCGACCTGATGGTGGTCCACGCACAGTGTACCGTCGAGTCGGACACTCTCGTCCCCCAAATCGTGTAGTATTTTGGCCTGGGAGTTCTGCAGGTGGTGCGATGCTACTCAGTGCTGGAAAAGATGGCGCTCTTCGGTACGTTATTTTCTTTAAACTCATCTTTTGTGATCAAGATCACATTCGTAATAATGACGGTTCTAGCTTGGTTTTCTATTGCATATCTCAAAACCGTGCATATGTCTTCAACCTAGTATGGACCGGTCTCATCTTCACGTGTACTATTCTTCTGTAAACTATATATATATATATATATATATATATATATATATATATATATATATATATATATATATATATATTAGAATCAGGTTAAGAAACTGTGAAGCTATTGATTATGGACCAGTGGTTGTCTGGATTGACTTCGCATCACAATCGAGTTTGCAAATCGATGGCATCAGGCGATGTGCCCTTAACTGCATCAGTAGTTACCGGTTTCCCCCAATCATAATATTTTTTACTGTATTATGGTTTTTTACTATCTTGTTTTCAGCGTTATCTTTGTGAAATATAAGGATCTCTATCTACAATATTTCAAAAATCTAAAAAATGACATCCACTGTCTCAATACATTTACTACTGTCACTAAATTTTCATGATTTTAGTAGTATATATAGCTTCTAGCGCTTAGTTGATTGTGACGTGAGTTGACAGCGTGCGTACGCTCAAGTAATCATCTTTTATTTTCTCAGATATTTTGTTTGGTTTTCGGTAGGTCCATTACTCAGCCTTCATTATCGGTGCGTTGTTTTACAATGTCGGGATCAGACCTTATTGGAATTCCTATATTTTTTCATTTGTTTCCAAGTTGAAGGAATAATTCTACTAATTAAATTATTTTCAATCGTAAACATTTTCTTTTTCATTTTTTCACCAACCAGTGTATTTTCAACCTTCAACGAATGTTCTGATAAAAGTCTTGGCTGTGCTTATGCCCCTGGTGCTCCAGATTGTCGAAAAGCTACTCGTGAACAACGTTCCTCCTGGTTATTACCTGAAGTAGTTGACTTAGCTGCTTGCGCTACACGCGCTGAAGCGTGGGACAACATAATTGCTGTCCATGGTGGAAAGCGTCAAGTAACCAGTTGGAATTTTATGAAAGCTACGCGTGGTCAACATTGTTTCGATGCAGTGAAATTTCATGGTTTTGGTGGTGAAGCAACTCGGCTGTATAAGAAAACTGTGGCCACGGTGAGTTTTTCTCCTTTCGATGATAATACTAAATCTGGAGTAGTAAATTCTGATAAATGCAACTACATGAGGAGTTTACGAGAATGGTAATAACGAAAACTTGTTACAGTTGGAAAAACTGTAGAATCAACGTGTCTTGATAGATTTTTGAAAAAATCTGTTCTGTATAACGCGTTATAACAGCAGACATGAATAGGACATCATCTTTGTAGTTTTTACTTTTTCATATATACATATACAGAAGTCTCAGTAGACTGTAAATCTCAGTGCTCATAGTGTTTCTATTCATACAGTTGGTTTTCCCCCACACAGTGTAATAGTTGGTGGTCCATATCAGTATGAAGACGTGACTCTTCGGCTTAAGCACTCCACTTTCAGTCAGTTAGTTTGTATCCCCCTGCACCTACTTCGGCCTGGGCATGCAGTAAGTGTAGCTCATAGCCTGGGATAAACAAACCTGTTCCAGAAACATAAGATGAAACAGCTTTTCAGTACTTCCTGATGGTTTCCCACTGGTTCTCTGGTTGATTTCACCTTGTGAATTAACCTACAACTAGTCCAATCCCTGCAAACGAACACTTGAAAAACAGTTCAGACAAAAAACTCTATCATGTATCTCTTTCAAAAACTTCGGCAAAATTGAAGCGTAATCACTCTATTCTCATAACCATGTGAAGTGTTAACAAGCGACTGCATGCTGTGCATATTAGGCCTAGGCAACTAAAATGCTCCTTGGTATTTCACTCATCTGTTTTTCAAGATCAGGCGAGTAAGTCTCCGTATGTGTGTCGGTGGCATATCGTTTAGGACTCTCGCCGAATATGCACATGGTCTGGGGTTCGATTCCCTACCGACGCATACCTGATATCAATGGTTGGCCTGCAAAATTTGGGCTACCGATATCACATGCTGCAAATTCCACACTTGTACCAAAAAGTACTGTGTAAAATCAAACTATAATCAAAAATAGAGAAATATTTGAAGGAGGTCTCACCAATAAAATCGCACAGCTTTCGGAAAAGCTGTTATAGTCGCAAGTGCTATTGTTCCTAAAAAATGATAAAGCCACTATTATAAAGGTAGAAGTTTTCTCAAATAAGCAACAAAAGCTAATAATGCAGGATTTAATAAATTCATCAAATCTCTGTAGAACTCTTCAGCTGGATACTCTACGTTCAGGGACATACAGTTAACACAAAATGCATTACGGTTCAATAACATCACTTAAGTGAACAATTAGTTATCAGTGATGGAAAAAGCTTGAATATATCAAGAATTGCAAACTAAGTAATAATAATATTAACAATTATAATCAATAACAATGTTAAAACGAGTTAAGATAATGGTAATGATAAAGTTGTTTTAAATTCTATCGGCAAGTAAATATTTACAATTTTTATAGAAGTTTTCAATTAAAATGCCTAATCCAGAAAGTCTCTGTACAGGAACAATAAAAGTCAAGCGTGAATTTACCCTATTGGCTAAACTCTCAGACATCGAATGTGTATGTATGTTAATTATCATCATTATTATTCAGGGATGTTGCTGTCTACTTGCATTAAAGTTTATAATGTTTTGACATCTTTCTCTTTATAGTGTGTCTATCTGACAAATTGTGGCAATTTCGCTCTGATCGGTTATTCAAGTGGAGACGTTTTTAAGTTTAATATGCAGTCTGGTTTAGAACGTGGTTCATATGGTTCTCCCAGTGGTATGTTTTCTATTACCTTGTTTTTCCCTCAGTTTACCCTATTTGTAAATATTTCACACATTCTTTGTTGTGCTTTAGGTTGAGATTTTGTTTTTCTGGAGTTTTCAGCATAGATTGTATTCGGCTGGAAAAAAGTACCACAAATCAAATAATCTCCTCATAAATTCAATATGAGGACTTAGTATGATTACTATCTGTCAGATTAAACTTGTAAAATAGAATTCATTCAAAATGTCTCTTAAAAATTTCTAAAAACTGATTAGTAGTGTTTTAAATAACATTGAATCAATAATATCTATAAATTACAATCCAAAAGCACCTCCAATCTGTAATATGCATCGATGTAGCACTAAACTGAATATCAGATAAATTAGAGGAAGTATTACAGAAAGAAACTGGGAACAAACCAACCAAGAGCCAATCGCTCAACAAATATGTAGGAGAAAATGGAGTTGAATCAGGCATATATTGAGGAAACCGTCGGATGACATCACACACTAGGCCATTGCTTGAGTGGAATCAAAATGGGAAGCGATGAGTGGCTCGTCCTAGGGTTACATTGAGGGGATCGTATGAGGAGGGGATGAGAGATTATGAACGATCGTGGACCCAGCTGAAGAGGATAGTAGAAAATAAAAGTGGAGATGTTGGATTCCTATGTTCCACTCGGAGGCCAAAGGAATAATAATACAGAATTTATAAGTTTATATATTTAACTGCAGGCCATAGTAGCAATTTTGGATTGACCTGTTTCTTTTGCACTCAGAGCTCCGATTATTTCGATCAAATTGCATCAGCCTCTACTGTGTGGAGTATTCGTGATCTAGAGGCCGTTAACAATTTATTTGGTCCCAATGGATGACAGAAAAAGATTCGTCAATGCGTGTAATATCAAACTGTCGATGGTTTTGGTCTAATTTGGCCACACTAGTATGAGTTCCCTGACACGAGTTCCTACTACATTAACCAATATAGCTGCTTTCACAGGATCAGTTAAATTGACACACAGTTCAATCCTATCAGACTGATTTTTCTAATCCTAATGAGTCTAACTATTGCGTTAATTTTTCATTGCTTGCAGTCGTCGACGCAGTCTGGTCTATGCTGTAATTCAAATATTACAGATAAGAACTGCAATGAACAATCGTGTATTATATGTCACTGTAGTTTCTGTACAACGCAGTATTTTACTAATTGTTCCTGTAACTTATTGAATAAGGGTTTCCGTTAGAGATGCGTGTATACGGGGTGCGTAATTTGGCACAGTATATTCTGTTTATGTAGTGTAGCTGAAATACCTCATCAGTGCTGAAAATTAACTGGGTTGGTTTGCGAAAAACAGGTTGCCCTAACTGATGACATGTTATTAACAAAAAATCCATTTGTATTGTTGTATTTTCGAAGTCGGTGTATCCATTCTTTTTACCTACTCACTCTCAGCTAGACACTACTTAGTTACTAAATCCTACGTAGCTTCTATAAGTACGTGGTAGTGAAAAAATAATTACCCATTAGCTTTGTCTTGTGTGTATTAAGAGAAGTAGTTGCTGTTGTATATTTTATTGTGTAGATGTGAAAGTCGATTCACTAAACACATTGATACGTCTAACCGAAATTGCGCTGCCTGTGTAAATACAGTCTGCAAAGTTTAATTTTTTTTGTTCATACCTGTTTTTAAAATTATTTTCTATGTATACTAGCTCATCAATACTCGATTGTTGGAGTGGCTGTTAATAATGTGAATCGTGTTACAATAACAGTTGGTGGAAGTGAAGTACGGTTTTGGTCATTTAATGAGCATGAATTACTTGAACAACTAGATCTTCCGTCAACGTCTTCACTAGTTAGATTTCACGCAGACAGGTGAATGGTGTATTGGGTTTTTTATTCTCTGTGTTATGTAATAGTTAAATTACCTCATCCTCATTTAGGAGGAAGATGTTTACACTTAATAAAATTAATTTCTCGGTATCCATAGATATGGTATATGCATTGCACTAATGAAGTACATAAGCCAGTTCGGTCCATCATTGGCTGCTTGCCAACTGTAGTTGGAGTGATGAAGATATTACACCATGGGCAGCTCTGTTATATGTCCGTTAATGGTTACCTTGAAATAGTGATGGTGACGACTCTATTTCACTACTATTATTTCCGTAGGATTAATCACACTATCAACATAAAGCGAGAAATTCCCGCATCCAATGGCGTATATTGAAACTTACAAAACTAGTCATCGGATAATTAATGTTATCCCAAAACAACAGCTGTGGTGCTCTGGATACCAGCCATACGTTTTATTTCATTGAATTTTACTGTGTTCACTGTTTTTAGCTTTGTGACTCTTGGCAGAAGCATACGAATCTAACCTATCACATTTACTGGCTAAATGAATAATGTTAAGGCTGTTTCGGCATTTTTCCTTCTCTGTGGGGTTATTAAAAATAGAAAACCTGAAGCGGTTAGCTATCTTTTACTATGTATGTTTGCGATTCACGACCTATGTTAAGTGATAGAATATGGTAAGTAGTGTTGAGATTAGGCGTAGAATGTTAGGTGAGGAAGGTAAGTCAATCGATGAGGTTGTGAAGCTGCGTTAAGCATGCTGAACCAACGCCTTCCTCATTGAGCAATGTTAGCAGACATACGATAAGGTAGAAAAAGAGTTATGAGTGCTCAAACCACAACCTGATACATTGAAGTATAGAATGCCTTGTTAGAGTTCTCGGAATACTAAAAAGCAGTGATTGGAGACTTGGTGATATGGCTCAAAATCGTTCTCACTGGCACAAATACATTCACTCGTTGTGATCTTCCGTGTCCATTAAATTGTCAAATTTTTCCATGTTACTAATCTTTCCCTCTCATATTTCTACTTATTATAGTTATTTTGAATTTCCTTTTCTCTCCTCTTTTGTCTACCTCTGTGATAAATGGAATGTGGCGACTTGAACTGCTGCACTTCTGCACTAAGTTCTACGTTAAAACTCATTCAGTCAGCAAGTATAAACTGTTAACAAACATCAATCTGTATGTATAATCTGTCGAACTCTAACATTTTTTTAATTTGTTATATTTCAGTGATATTTTAGGCGTGGCTTTATCAAACGCTTCCATTACTTTAATTGATGCGTTACACCGACAAGTTATCCGTACTTTTGTTAACTCTGAAGTCCAACTTTGTGTTGATATGGTAAGTTTTTGCACAAAGTTGTGCGAGTACAATACAATATCTGAATATGTATCTGTTATAATACAATGATTAATTATTTGAAGTTACGTGCGTTACCGGCGTCCAACAGTCATTATATTTCTTGACCTAAAGGCAGCATTCGACTCTGTCGATCGAGAAGTTCTCTGGAGATGCTTGGCTGTAAAGGGAATTCCGAGAAAATATATTGCACTGATTAAGGCACTCTACTCGTACTCATACAGCCTGGTGAGGGCTTACGGCGAGTTGTCATTTGAACTGATGACGACCAGTGGTGTCCGTCAAGGATGCCCATTATCTCCTTTTCTATTCAACTTCATCATAGATGTGTTAATGGACTTAACCCTAGGTGACTTCAGCGACTCAGGGATTGACTTGCTACCGGGGAATAATCTCATTGATTTGGAATATGCAGACGATATAGTCCTAGGCGAAGACGCTGACGAAATGCAGCCCCAACGGGCTGATCTCTGACGAAATCTCAGCACGAATACAGGGGGCTCGTTTCGCATTTGCCAGTTTACGCCGACTCTGGCGTAGACGAGATGTTCGACTATCGACCAAAGGGCGGGTGTACTGCTCATCAGTCCGCTCCGTCCTCCTTTATGGTTGTGAGAACTGGCCACTGAGAGTGGAAGACATGAAAAGACTAGCTGTCTTTGATCATAGGTGTCTGCGTTCTGTCTCCCGTGTAAAGTGGCATAATAAGGTGAGCAACATTGAGGTTAGGCGTCGAGTTCTAGGTAAACAGGGGAAATCAATCGACGAAATCGTGAAGCTACAAAGACTGAGATGATTAGGACATGTGTTACGTATGCCAAGCCATCGCCTCCCTCGACGAGCAATGTTAGCGGATGTAGGGTCATGCTGGAAAAAAGCTAGCGGTGGTCAAACAAAAACTTGGCACCAGTCAATGAAATCCACAACAGTTGGTCTAAGCCACGTAGGAAGGTGTAGACTTCCAGACTGGGGTCCTCGGGACGGCAAAAATCTATGGTTGGAAACAATTGGTGACATGGCTCAAAATCGTTCTCAGTGGCACAGATGCATCCACTCCTTGTGATTTATGATCTCCAATGAAACTGTTTTGTTTTTCTTTATTACTCCTTTGTCTCACACATCTGCTCACTGTTTCTATTATGCTTTTCTTGTACTTTCTTCTCTTGCTTCGCGTGCTACACGGAGTGTGGCGACTTGAACTGTCGCACATTTGTGCAAAGTTCTATGTCGAAAATAGACAGACAGACAGATGTGCTTCTGATTGATTGGTATTAATAGTAGGAATTTAAATTAAAGTGATCCCACCACTGGCTATTAGTTGTACTTGTTAAGCAACAGCGCTAATCAGCTGTGTACTCAAAGTTGGCTCATTTAAGCGATTTGACTTAATACCGCCTTTGTTTTATTGTGGGAACTCTCAAACTAGAAAATACTGTATATTCAGTTTGATTAAAAAAGGCTAATGATTCACAATGTTTGAATTGCCAGTTTTATTGTAACTGTTTCTTTTTTCTAGTAATTTGAATATCCGCATAATTTACTCAGAACAAGAATAATTAGAGCGAACAATTGTTGACAAAAAATAGCAATCCCAGGTATGCGAACGCACGAATGACATTAAAGTGACTAATCAGAATAACCAGTGTTTTACAAGAAAAATGCCATTTATTTGCTAGGAAAATAAAATACGCTATTCCTAACTTTAACTAGCTATAAACCCAAACAGTACTTGAAACTGTAATCCGGGTGAATTTTGCACCTAAATGGATGGTAGGTCATGTTATCCAGCGGATAGAATGTTTTCAAGGTTAGTAGTGTGCTTGCACCCCTGAATCGCTATTCTTAAACTTGACCCAATTGTTTTCAATGAATTCTTCAGGTTCTACAATTATAAATTCATTATTTGTAGCATACAATAACCAGTAAAGGTAAATTAAAATTATATCAGAAAGTTTATTGTGGAACAAGTAAAAGGCAGAATAATTGCACTTTGGATCCCTATCCCGTTGAATTACTTCATTTTATCTCATGTTTTTGTTGACCATACATATTTCAAATGATAATCAAAACTAACTGGACATTATTCCTTCTTGTACTTCTACAATACATTTTCTGATGTAATTCTAATCGGCCTTTACCGTATGCTACAATTAATGGAATTTTTAATTGTTAAATCTTCCAAGGAAAATCTGTTGGGAACAATTGTTCACTCTAATTATCCTTATTTCCTTTTCATTTCACCACCTGGTGAACTTTCTATCTGAGTTACTGTAGGATCGTCTGTCTTAAATAAGGATCATTTATAGCGTAAAATGTGTGAAAACCTGTATCGCCTAAATGCGTTGCGTTGCTTATTGTTACCATCCTTCTGATAAAGATATAGCTGATTAACCTTAGCAATTGATTCTCATTTGATGAGTTTTGTATTGAAATGCTGCTCTACTCCAGTCTGGTCTTATGGGCCTTACTCACACAAGTTTGACTGAGAACCCAGTACATGGGAAAATTTGACCGATATAACTGAATTTTAACTACCCGTCCCTCGGTACGATAAGATTAAAACTGTCATTCGTCTTGCATTGCTTCTGAAGTATACATAGAGCGTATTTAATCTCAGTCTGCTAATCTGATGAATCAGTAAAATTCATCTCCATGATACTGAATGATTGCGAGTGCTATAATATATCTAGATGTACTGACTCTTTATAAATTATTTGATAATAAGCCAAGGTTTCACATCTTTTGTACCAACTGCAGTGTGTAGTATTTCAGAGCTTTGCAGCTGTGACACAACCCGGAATTCAAACGCTGTCACAAAGCTGTGGAAGTTACAACTTAGAGTATTGTTGAAATGGAATGGACAAATAAATCAGTCGTCATGTGGTATGCATCTGGACCTGCCTAGTATGTACGATGTATGTTAAAGTAGTAAAATTAGCTACCCTATTTCAGTTTCCTCACCTATTGATTTTGTTGTTACATTTTTTATCAATCACTGTTGATCGGTTTATTTTATTCTTACTAAATAAGATTCTTTTTTATTCTAGGACTTTTCATTCGACGGTCGATGGTTAATTTCTGCACATCATGGTGACCCATTAATAAAAACTTGGGATATTGTTGATAGTAAGTAAGTAAAATTCACTCCTTCTGCTGCTTGTTCACATATTAATCACTACGTTAGTAATATTGAGATACTATTGGAACTACATAAAATAACTTCAAGAATTTTTCTTCATTTTCACGTAAATTAGGTAACATTTGCTGATATCAGCGGTGACACATTCTGTTTCATTTAGCGTGATTCAATTGATAAATTTATGTGGAGTTGATCGTTTCACGGTGTTCAAATATAGTTACATTGGAAGGAAAACGAAGAGTATAAATCGTAGAAAAATGTAAAAATGATTTTAGTAAATAAAATAACAGATTTTGGCAAATAATGGAAGCACAAATATCAGCTGCAAATGACGTTTTTATAAACGAAAATGCATCAAAAACAGTTGCGGGTAGTGTTAGTGTAGCAGGTGTCACTACTATGGTAGGCACTGAAGATGTTGTTTAGAAGGACAAGCTTTCAATCACACTAGTTATTCCCTCCATTTGGTGATTTGACAGTTGGTTTTCAAACCATACTAGAACGGATGAGTTGAGTTTCAGTGAAAGGTCTGTCATAAAAGCATTGTCAGACCAGAAGGCATTGTACTTGTTTTGTTGATAAAGGTACCTGGATCTGTGATAAAGGCAATATTGTTAGCATGCTTAACGTAAAAAGCTGTACGTTACATATCCCTAGTTTCGCCTTATTGTAAAATATGTTTTTGACCGTTCTTTGAGACATTTAAAGTTCTCGTTCCAGTGTTCTGTCCTCTCTCTTAATTTCACCTGTCAGTGGTATGGTTGTTTTTATCGTGGCGACTAGCCATTAGAGTAGTTTCCGTTTGGGCATTAAGCTTTTATATCTCGCAGTCTGTGAGGCCGTATTACCAGCCTTATCACTTTGTGGTAACTATACTTTTGATTACTATTGCTGATTGTTTTATTTTGCAGATTAATTGATTGTTTTCGTGTAGAACTTCCTATCACGTCAATCTCTTTATCTAAAGCTAATGAATTTCTGGCAACAACTCATGCAAATTGTCTCGGTATCTACTTATGGGATAACCGTGCCGCTTATAAACGTTTGCATCTTCAACCACTGCCAACTGACTACATTCCATGTAAGGGTCAGTCGCCAGTATCATTACCGAACAGGTAAGTTCCTTTTTTCGTATTTTGGGGGCTGGAAGGTTTAATTGGTAAGCTTTCATTGTCCTTCTAAAAAAATCCAACTCTAACATCATTGTAAAATAATGATTTTTGAACTCCTACAACCTTGGGTGTGATTGTTCGTCTCCAAAGATTTTCTCGTTTTCATTTCCTTTTGTATTCATACTGATAGTTTCGTCAGCCTATTCTCCATGCCACGTAATCTCTATTAACTGATGTATTTGATCAACGTCAAAATGTGTGTTGTTTGCAAACCTATCTGAGTACCAGGACTTCTAGGATTCACTGATACCTTTAGTACATCTGCTGTTTAAATTCTCTCTATTTTCCCAGTGAAATTTGTGTACTTAGTTATCCGTATGTATTGGTATGAAGAAATACTCATGGTTCCTTTTCAACCTGTGGTTTGTGATCTATGGTGCTAAGGGGACGCTCACTTTAGTCAGTATAATATCTTTCATGGTTTATACAATTTATCCTCTGGATGGTTTTCTTGTTCTCACTTACTACTGGATCTTTTGGTCTGCATAGTTCCATCTGCTCTCGCAGATTCCCAACACTTCTATTCTATATCTTCCCATTTCTGCGGCTACCTGAGCAGCCTTTCCTGTTTCGTACATTGTACGAACATTCCGCGTCCTCGTCCTTATTTTTGCTTTCATCGAAAGAAGCTACATCAGCTGACTGGCTTCCCGAAGACTTTCACCAGCCTGCGTCATTTCACTTCCCCGATTCCAGTGAAAAATAAGGTTATTGTTTATATTTTTAGTATTTTTAATATATTTATGCGTTGAAGTTTCTGTATCAATTTGGGGGTGGAGTTGCTAGCACCACCCTCCCTCTTTATCCGGGCTTGGGACCGGTTAGAAAACTAGCGAGCTAGTAATCTAGGCGAGGTTTATTGCGTGGGTGCTGTTGAAATATCCCCTAAGATGGGGTTTAGTGGACTGCTCATTGTGACTCCATCTATATGCCGTTGCATAACATTAACTTTAAGCTGTACTGACTTCGTGTGTTTACGCGAAGGGTCTTTGAACTCTCCTTCTGGGTAGAAGTAGCACATCAAAATACCTGACAAGCAGTGTCTTTCGTTTGTTCAAGTAGAGATATTTCTTAAAAAAAAATAAACGTGCTTTGAACGAAACTGTGAATCCGTTAAAATGTTTAGATTTTCTAATTTGTGGGCGAACTCAAAGCAGTCGTTTAGAAGTTAGCAAATCTAGACATTTTTAGCTAGTTCATAGTGTCGTTCGATTTATCTTCATTTTCGACAACTATCCCACCGGAATTCCGGACATTTAGTGTGATGTACTTCCATTCATACTTCAGTTTGTCCTACATCGTATAATTTTATTTGTGTTCTCTTCTTTCTGATTTACTTATGAGAACTATGGTAACCTAAACTGATACATTTCTGTGATAGTAACAATGTATGGTGTTTTACGTTAGTCAATCTTTCTCCGTCTGTTTGGTTTACTTGTCATTAAAGCGAATGAATGCAACTGATCATGATAACTCCATGCACCTAAGGATATTTCATTTATCTTTTTTTCAAAATTCTCTTCTTTAGGGTAGTGATTACACGTAATACAGGCGATGAGATTGAACTAGGCATGCGTACAGATGAGGAGGAATTCGTTGATCAAGAGTGTACAGATGACCCACCATCTGAAGAGTCTGTGGAGCATGTGTGAGTTCTTTATGGTATTATTTCACGGTAATTTGTTGTAAATTACTGCCATCATAAAATATTCGTAATTGTTTTTTTCAAATAAATGGATAACAGTGCTTTTCGGTTCACACTAAGGTGGACTAAACTGAAGGCATCTATCTTAACCCAAAGCTGCCTAAGGTGTATTGTCTTCAACAACTTGTGTAGTTAGTATTAAAAAGGGCATCTCATGTGATTTCGTATTCTGTGCGTTGGTGGCACAGTGGTTAGGACTCTCGCCGACCATGCACATGGTCCGGGGTTCGAGCCCACGCCGACGCACACCTGATATCTACGGTCGGCCTGCGAAATTTGGGCTACCGATATCCATGCTGAAAATTTCATACTTGTACCAAAAATACTGTGTGGAATCAAGCTGTAATCAAAAATAAAAATATAAAAAAGAATTATTGCTATTACCTATTGAGGTTCAAATAGTCGTTCATACTTTCATAACCCATTAGGTTAGTATGATTAATAAGAATCGATGCCAGCTTGATAATCACAAGAAATTAAGGAGTGGTGGCAGCTGCTTTTATTGGAATGTTCCTTAGTATGTACCCATGATAATATCAAGGATCAAACTTAGGATCCTTCTTCATATTACTACTGAAATGTCTCAAACCACATCAAAACAGTTGTCTACAGTCCATTAATTTTGCTTCATGATGCAACACACACTTAAATTAAATATGACTCCATGTAAGATGAGTATATTTGACAACACATGAGGATACAGTACTACCTTCTGGATGACGTTTTCCTCACAATATATTACTTATATAGTTAAGAACACAGAAATTTCGTAACTCCGCTGCTTATAATCCTATCAGTGTATTCACACATAACTTACATAGTTTTACTCCTCCCCCCCCCCCCACACACACACACACAATATGTTTTACTGCAGTTTTCCACTAGCGCTATTACATTTTAGTATTCCTTTTTTTGCCCCAACCTGTTACATCATTACGTGCAGGTGCATACATAACAGAGCTTTTGTCGAGATTATTTAAATTGTTGGTCAAATATTTTACATCTCCAAATTAGTAAGTCATATGAATACACTGACATGACTATAATCCATAAACTGTAAAATTAACTTGTCTGTTATGGAATCATATTCTGCCACAACGCCCAAATTTTACTCTAAGATTTAATAAAATCCCTGCAAGCTCAGAGTCTGAAAACTTCCTATTAGTTTGTTTATTAGATATATCACACAGTGAAACAGTATTATTTACTGGATGACGTTTCGAACAAAATTTATTGTTCATAATCATATCAATTGTAATCACACGACTTTGAAACTTGAGTTTTATGGTTTTCTTTGTTTTCTCCTATTTGTCGTAGGGGTTGTAGAATTTTCCAGATATCATGGACAGGTGATGAATCATTCCTATTACATGTATTTGCACTCCTTTACTTCGCTAAGCCAGAAATAATCCTTGTAAAGAGGAAAGGTTGGGCATGAGGCTAGCAACCCCATCCTGTAAAATAATAAACACTGCTACAGAAACTTCAAGCCACTAGCTTAAAGCCCTATGTTCCACTGGGGATAAAAAAACATATATTTGCAGTTGATTCGATAAATAAAGCTTCTGTTATCAATCTCTCCCTATAGCCTGTGACATTAGATTTTAAAACTGTCATCCTATCCCATCCTATTGTATGGTTGTGTGTAACTGCATAGCTATAGCACTACATGCAGTTACACACAACCAATATGGAATTACTTGCTACCACAGTGCCCAAGTTTTACACATATATTAATCTTAAAACTTCAATTAGTTTACAGCTCTATTCGGTGAATAATGACGTGTAAGGAGTCTAACCTCTTTTATTCTGTACCGCCTAATTGGCCAAAATGGAAACACAACACTATGCAGGGTTAGTTAGCCTAGTGGTCATACTTGAACATAATCAAAATATGTGATCTTCATTCATTACGTTGGTGATTGATTTGTGTGTGTGTCTGTGTAACCCATACCATCATGGGAACATGAATCAATTAAATATCTCAATATAAGTTTGAACAATGTGTACTTGAATAGCTTGTGTTAACAGATTGAGATTTACATTTCATCAATGATAGTGTCTGCTTTATTATGTTTTAGTATTCTCCTTCTTCACCTTCCTAAAACCGAATAATAATTTGCTCATTTCTGATTTCACTAATTTGCTAGAACCATTGATTCAACTGTCAATCTTTACTTACCGAAATGGACAAGATGGTCACTTTAAACTTCATAACTATGGTTCATTTAATAAAAATCGCTGGAAAGTTTTTGACCATACCTTAGCCTGTAGTCTTCAGATCATATTAAGCTTAGTCGCGTTATTTTTCATTGAATCAACTAGTTGGAATGCATTTATAATAATGATATTTTTCTTCCTGACAGCTACATTTCTCCTGCACAACTGGATGGTCGTCTTGTAACACTTTCGGGAATCCCATCATCCTACTTCACAACACTTTTACATTTGGATCTTATTCGAGAACGTAGTAATCATGCCACTAAACATCCTATGAATTCCGAGTATATGAATGACACGCCTGGTAGTGCAGATCCAAGGAATTTACCATTTTTCCTACCAGTAGTTGAAACCAATAAAGGTTTATCTTGGGCTGATAAGGATGCTGGTCATGATGACGGTGATTCAGGTAAGGAGTTGTCAACCAAACAGGCTTCCAATGCAAAATCTAACAAACGACGTGGCCTATTGGATAAAGATTTCACACACGCAATTGAACCGATACCTAGTCTATCGACAAAACTTGTTCAAGCCAAATCAGATGACAAGTGTGAGTTTTATTCCTACTTTTGATAAAATCAGTCGCATAACTTAGTCATGGTTTTTATTCTTTTATGTAATTGATGCATTATCTCTTAAATTCTGACTAACTGACTGGTTTCAACATAGAACTTTGCACCGATGTGCGGCAGCTCGAGTCTCCACACTCCATGTAACCCACAAAGCACGAGAAGAAAGTAAAAAGAAATGCGAAATAGAGACGGTTAACAGAGATTGGAGGCAAAAAGAATAGTAATAAGGAAGAGCAACATAGTTTCACTGGGTATTGTAAGTCACAAGTAGGTGGTTGCATCTGCACCATTGAGAACGATTTTGAGTCATATGCCTGATTGTCAGCAGTCATTGGCTTTTACCGTCTCGACGACCCCAACCAGGAAGTCGACATCTTTCTACGTGACTGGCTTAAACTGACTGTTGTGGATTTCATTGACTGATGCCATGTTTTGGTTTGACCACCACTGGCTCTTTTCCAACCTGATATTATAGCCAGTCAGCTAACATTACCCGTCGAGGAATGCGATGACTAGGCATTCAGTGATTTTCTTTGTTTTTCAAATGACAGGGAATATTGAGTCCATATCTTTATTAAAAATTAAAGATGAATCCTAATAATTTTTCAGTTTACAATGTGAAACAAGTACATCATGATACCTTTGGCGTTTGATTTGTAAATTTATATGTTTATATGAAAATATAAATTATTATTATTATTTGACGGGGTGAATGTCTACTTTGCAGAACTTATATTATTGTACAACATACTGGTATTCTAAAACTTAAACCTTTAAATATTTAATTTTGTGCTTGATTTCACTCTGATTGCAATAATTAGTAACACATATTTGGGTGTCTGAAATAAAATCAGTTTGCTCAAATTCTTTTTGATAGTAATGTGTGTGAATCTTGTCCTATCTCTGGCGCAAACTGAATTCTATCAATCAAATTTGCAATGCGGCCCACCATGCCACTAGGTGGCTCACCATCACGGTGCACTGTGAATTGTTGGTATTGGAGGGTTGGAGGTGAGCGGCAGAAAGCCTTGGGTCTAGGTTTCGTGCTAGTTGGCACTGGTCAGCAAGGCGTATCTTCAACCTCGAATGAACTTTTGTCCCTTCTGATATTCGAACCCGCGTCACCCAGTGTTGCAGTCGGAGACGTTACCACTGAGCTCCTGTAGGACTTGACTGATAGAATTCAGTCTCTACCAAAGACAGGACTAGACACGCATTACAATGAAAAATATCCAATACAGTTCATTTTATCTTGAAATATGGAATGCATTCTTAGTGTTATCATTTTTATCTATTTTACTATCTAATATTGCCGAATGTTTATTTTTGTAGTCGATGAAATTTCTCACTCCCTCAAATCAGTTGGACCAAATGCTTTAGATTTAGAAATTCGTTTACTTATCCCGTCAGATGAAGATGAAATACTTAGCATTGATAGTTCACAAACAATGAGACCTCACAATCATTTATCAAATTCCTATCAGAAATTATATGCATTTCTACGATATCTAATTAATAGGTAATAGAAGGAAAAAACATACTTTCTTCTTGTTATTGGTTGGTTTATTATTTAATTTTTAATTTACGTATTTATTAAATTGAAAGTAATTAATTAATTAAATGGAAAGCAATCTTTTAGATGAACAAGAACCTGGGCACATAGCTAGTTAGTTTTACCCATGCACAAATGGCTACTTAGATGTTGATTTCTCGTTAGGCTATAATATTTATGCCTGAGATCAAATTTTTCTTAGTGGTAAGATGTTTTCTAAAAGTTTATACACATCATGCGTGAAAACCGCCTGCTTGTTTCCTTATAACGTCGATTACCGGATATTTGGTTAAAGAAAGGCAAAACTTACTGTAGTCTCATTCTTTATCGATCAACCCATGTCTCTACTTGAAAATGAGATTCTGTCGATTAATATTAATATTAACTCAGAGTAGTATTTCATAAATCAGTGGCCTATTTAGATAAGTCTGTATCGAATTTCTCCGTCATTTCCTTCAAACGCTAAATACAAAACTATTCACTTTGTCATTAGTTGCAATCAAATGATTCTAAACACTTGATATTAATACACTTCAAAGTATATAATAGCGGTATTGACTATTGCATCTTCTTCTTCACTCAATTTCAGATTTCAGTCCAATCGAGATGTTGACTTCGCGTGTATCTGTTTGGAAATCGTACTTCAACGACATAATGATATTCTGTTTCGTCATGATCGACAGTACAATATAGATTCATGCGATCAAACGATTAAACAATATTTGGAAATGAGTGAAGATATGGAATCATTTGTATCCTCTCACTCGACCATTTTAAGTCTTATTAAACAAGCTGTGAAAGCTAAAGAAAAGTCGCAATCGCAATTGACAAACCGCATAACGCAATCCTTATGCTTAGTTGATTTTATTCGTAACCCTGTGACCGCTCTGCAACTATGAAGCAAGACATGCACATATAGTTATATGTGGCCTTATTATTCACATTCATCTTGCGTGTAAATAAATACAGTCTTTGTTAAAGATATCCTTATTTTCACCGTCTTCGTAATATAAGTGTGGCAATTCTCGTGGATTTATATGGTGTCTTTTTTATCTTAAACCTCGATAACTTCTAATTATGTTTATAAGTGGTTTATTCTTGCATACCTTGTAGGTGTTCGTTAAAGTTAGTTGACAGAGTGGCCTGAATGTCACTTTTCTACTTATAAGGAGAGTGTGTCTGTAAACTTAAGTAAACCCACGTTCGTTTCAACATTCGCACCTCCGTGAAAAGAAATGACTTTATAACTAGGTCAAAGGTACCCTCTGTGTAAGACTGCATAATATTTGCAGACCTGTCTGTTCTCGACATAGAACTTTGCACCGATGTACGGCACTTCAAGTCGCCACACTCCATGTAGCACACAAAGAAAGTACAAGAAATGCATGATAGAGACAGTAAACAGAGGTGTGAGACAAAGGAATAGTAACAACGAAGAACAATATAGTTTCATTGGAAATCATAAGTCACAAGGAGTGGATACATCTGCGCCATTGAGAACGTCGAGTTTAAGCCATATCACCAATTGTTTCCAAACATTGGTTTTTACCGTCCCGAGGACCCCGACCAGGAAGTCTACACCTCCCTACATGGTTTAAACTAACTGTTGCACATTTCATTGACTGGCGCCATGTTTTGGTTTGACCACCATGCTAACTCTTTTCCAGCCTGACCCTATATCAGCTAACATTGCCCGTCGAGGAAGGCGATGACCAGGCATACGTAACACATGTCTTAACCATCTCAGTTGATGTAATTTCACAGCCTCATCGATTGATTTCCCCTCCTTACCTAGTACTTGACGCCTAACCTCACTATTGCTCACCTTATTATACCACTTCACACGGGAGATAGAACGCAGACACCTATGATCAAAGACAGCTAGCTAATCTTTTCATGTCTTCCACTCTCAATGGTCAGGTCTCACAGCTATAAAGAAGGACGGGGTGGACTGCTGAGCAGTACACCCGCCCTTTGGTCGATAGTCGGATATCACGTCTACGCCAAAGACGGCGTAAACTGGCATATGCTAAACTAGCCCTCTGTATCTGTGCTGAGATTTCGTCAGAGATCAACCCGTTGGCACTGGCTGATGGTACTTCCCAAATAAGTGAAGCAATCAACGTGCTCTGCCACTTCACTCCCTATTTCTAAAGTAGGAGTCAGTGTGGTCCTGTAACATCATCTTGCATTTGGCGGGAGCGAATCGCATGTCAAACATTCGTAGATTGCAGCTCAAGCTGTCCAGAAGAAACTGCATTTCGTCAGCGTCCTCGCCTAGAAGGACTATATCGTCTGCAAAAAAAAAAAAAAAAAAAATATTCCCTGGTGGCAAATCCATCCCTGAGTCACTGAAGTGAGTTAGGGTTAAGTCCATCAGTACATCTATGATGAAATTGAATGGAAACGGGCATCCCTGACGGACACCACTAGTCGTCACCAGTTCAGATGACAACTCGCCGTAAGCCCTCACCTGGCTGCTTGAGTTAGAGTAGAGTGCCTTAATCAGTGCAATGTATTTTCTCAGCATTCCCTTTACAGCCAAGCATCTCCAGAGAACCTCTCGGTCGACAGAATGGAATGCTGCCTTTAGCTCAAGAAATATAATGACTTGGACGCCGGTAGTAATGACTATGTTCTAGAATCTGTCGAAGGCTGAAGATATGGTCAATACACCCTTTTCTTGGTCTAAAACCTGTCCGGCTCTCCCGTGTTTGTGCCTCCCGAGCACCACTTGGTCTACGAAGTATTATTAAGCCTAGGACTTTAGATACTATATTAGTCAGGCTAATCCCTCTTTGATTATCACAGGAAGACGGTTTCCCTTCATGTATATGGGGATAATCAGTGACTTACACCAACCCGACGGGACTTCCTATGCTTCCTAGACGCTGCCTAGTACTTCAGTTAATGCAGACTGTCTCCACCGTATTTGTATACCTCTTGAGTCATCCTATCAGGTCTTGCTGCTTTGCCTAGTTTCAGATTAGTAACAGCTTTAGTAGCCTCGGTTAGGGACGGAGGACCTGTGTCTTTGGCCATACAGGGGGGTGTTGGATGTTCGGCAGGTTGATCGTGGCTGTAGGCCAATTAAACTGCTCCTCATAGTGCTCTTTCCAGCGATCCAGTCGTCTATCCTGAGAGCTAATTATGGTGCCATTTTTCTCCGAGATTGTTTCACTTATCATTTGCCTTTTACCACCTGTTTTCCTGATCAGCCTAAATAGCTGTCTGGTGTTGCCAATCGCCGATCCTTTTTCCATCTCTTTCGCTTTTGTTACCCACCACTGCTCACGGTCGTTGCGAAGACTTCTTGTTAGTTTTCGTTTAAGTAGCTTCCGTTCCTCATCATAATCGAAGCTCGCCGGAATCAGTCTTCTTGCGCCAACCAGTTCGGATGGGGCGGTAGAGATCGAATGGCTCTTACTAACTTTTGGTTTCAGCTTATTAACAGCTTTCACAGCTGTGTCTACAGATAACTGTATGTTGTTCCAGGCTACCTCAGGGGAAGTCCTGCTGTCGACTTCAGACACTCGTTTTGCTATTTCCTCCTTAAATAAGGACTCAGTGTCTCGATCTAGTTGGGGACGTAACTATTTCGCTGCCATCAGTTTCTTACGTCGGTTTAGTCGTAAGCATAACCGTGCGCGAGCCAGAGCGTGGTCAGAGTGTACGCACGTGTTCCAGAAGGAGCAACAGCCTTCTGCTGACCCCCGCCAACGATACTCTATGGCTGTGTGGTCTATCTGAGTGCAGCGCTGATTTGGTGATGGAGGTCGCCAGGTTACACAATGTCTCTCTTTGTGCCTAAATTTAGTACTGACTGGGAACAGATGATTATCTGAGGAGAACTGTAGAAGAAGATCACCGTTCGTCTGAAGGGAACTCCATACGTACCACCTACATACTTCTCAGTCTGGCACAGCTTTCCTACTTGGGCATTGAAATCGCCTGCTAAAACAACTATATCTGAATGTTTTGCTTTTTGCAGCAAATTAGACAGTTTCAGATAGTTCATCCGAACTGCAGTCCGTTAGGGTGTAAGCGGAGATTACGAAAAGGCAACGACGGGTAGCGCCGTCTTTCCTTCTTTTAACGGACCCATTCAGACGGACCGCGCACACACGACTATCTACAGGGATCCAGTCAAGAAATGATTTTCCGCCCTAACACTCAGTGCTATCCCTACACCTGCGAGTCCTCGCGAACTAGCTGAGGAGTCTCCTGACACCCTTAAAGTGAATTCTGCAGATTCACCTTGTTGACCGGTTGAGGTTAAATGAATGACCACACTCAGGTCTTGTATGCGTGTCTCCAAAACAACAAACATCCATGGCTCGAGTTGCCAGAGTTCTTACCAGTGACACTTGTTGTCCGATTTGGCAGAGGGTCCTGACGTTAGATGCTCCAATATGAAGTTGGCGACGTGGCTTTAAAAGGCCATCTGGGTTGTTTCTATGGCTCTCATCGTTGTTTGTGGTCACAGAGTGAAGTGAAGATAACTCAATAACCTGAAGAATAGTACTAACTGTAATAGAGAAGCAAGACGAGGAAGGTGATGTGAATAAAGGAGAATGATGCTCAGGAACGCTTCGTGTGGTTTTGGAAGTATGTGGGTGGTTGTTACTTCCCGGCTGCCCACACCGTGGAAGTTGATTAATTCTTCGGGTACCTGAAACAGAAAGAGTTTCGCGTGGCCGCAGAGCCCAGGGGACAACTGCTTGAGGCCGGTCACACACGGTCTGTATGAACTGGTTTCTGGGATTGGTTCCGTATTAGTAAACTTACCGCCGGATACGGACCACCGTAGGTAAGTTGGGGTGTACAATTTTTGGGGTCGACCTTTTCTAACCCCTAATTTCCGGAGTGGGGAGATAGCTTAGCTGGCATGCTGGTCATCTGAGGGAAACACCTCACTGCTGTTACAACCCTGTTCCCCAGCAGTACGACTTCGCCCTCAGACCGCCAGAATAATGTAAGAAAGATTCTTACACAATGCCGGTAACTGCTTTTAGTCCAGTCGCTATCCTAACAACCATCCTGGCATGGTAGGACCTGCAGGAACATATGTTCCAGCCAGTGTAGCCTGTTGGGTCATCGCGGTATGCAAGCCCGTCAAGGTAGCAACCATCGGTCGGGTTGCAGACCAGACATTGACTCATTTATCTGTTTTCTGTTAAATATGTCTTTGGAAATTCTTCGATCAGTGTTGTATTATTTATTAATGATCGTTGAACGGCTGAGGGATATCTTCTGCAATCACACTGTCAGTGACTGAGATTCAGATAAGAGACATGGGCGCTAATGAATTTACTGAGAGCTATGTTAGGCAAAGATGTTTAGAGAAACAGCACTTCCTTGTAACGTTTAGGCATCTTCACTTATTCGACTGATTTAGCTTGAAATAAGAGTAGGCATTTTGGATGTCTCCAAACAATAACAACTTTATTATTCAAGTATTGGTCTGTAGGGTTTTGGTTGATTGATTACGGGATTTCATCATGAGTTAACAAGCGCTTACTGCATACGAAACCTCTGGTAGTTCGACCTCATTTTCTCATCTCGACAAGTAGTCGGCCATTACATTTTCTTTCCCTGGAATATATCCCATCATAAAACCATACTCTCTTAGGCGTATTATCCATCGTGGGAACTCCCCTCTGGAGTCCTTTGCTGTTTTCAACCACTGCAGAGGTTTGTGGTCGGTCTCAACATGGAATCAGCAGTCGATCAAGTACGGTCTCCATTTTTTATTTCCCATACAATGGTTGAACACTCCCTTTGCACCGTAGGATGCTTTTGCTCTGCAGGTGTCAACACATGGTTGACATATCCAAATACCCCGCCCGTTTGTCTTAAAAC